ACCAAGCAATGAATTGATTAAAGATTATGACAAAATCATAAAGAAAAATAAGGGAACAATAAGCATAAAATTCAGGATCGCAGTTACCTCTGGGAAGAGAGAGGGATGAGATCAAGGAGCTACACAAAGTGGGCTTGACTTCAAAGGCACTGGTAATTGTCCACTGTTAAACCAGATATTGAATTTACGAGTATTCATGGTATTATTAATCTTTAAGCCTTACACATATGTTATAATTATTACTTTATATATACTCAGTATCCAATAAAAATGATAAAAAATTAAAGTCTCTAAAAATGCATGGAATATAATGAATGATGAATGTGCAATAGCAAAAATAATAGAAGTTTAAAATTTTAAAACAGATTTAATTCTCTTTTCCTTGTTTCCCAAAAATCTAGACAAAAGAGCAACTTGGGTTTATTTTTTCAACCTTCTAGTTTTCACCAGTAATTTTTTTCTGCCTATCTTTAGCAGGGACCCGAAGGAAATGAGAAAACAAGCGATGTGGCTATCTGGGAGAAGCTTCTGGAACCAAAGGCTACCCTTTAGAGAGGAAAAATAGAAACTGACCTTTGTCCCAGAGTATCTAGAGTTAATCAGACTCATAAAGAAGGCAACAGTAAATCAGTCCCCTCCAGTGGCTTGCATCCAGTCTGTGTATGATATTAAACCCCTCTCCCACCACTGCCTCTCACTCCCCATCTTAAGCCTTTGATCTTATTATGATAAAGATCCTGGATTGCATTTCCAAGCCCTCATCCATTAACTTGGCACAGTGGGCTCCATGATTAATCACTACTTCCTAAATCCCCTGATGCCTGCCCTGGCTCTGAAATGCTGCCTTTGGTGAGTGAAGAGGTCCCACATTTCCATTACTTTTCAAATTTGCTTCTTTTTCTCTATCCTCACTCCCACCTGCATCATTATTACCTAGAGTGCTCTCTCTATGTGGTCCAGAAGTTAAATTTAACGAGTATTGAGTGCATCTACTAGTTCCTTTAATTTGGGATTCCTGCCCATCATCCTGAGACAGGAGGGAGGGGGTCAGGACACAGCCATTCAAGGAATGGCAGCGATTAACACCAAAATGGGGAAGATTCAACTCCCATTAGGCCTTGAGGATTA